TTATCCTTGTAGGTCTCAGGAAAGCTCACTAGTGTCAGATCTCCCCTCAAAGCTATAATGACTCCATCTATTATGGTATCTCTCATCCTGCTCTCCTCTATTCTTACCTAGACTCAACCTTCCTGCTCCCCCATGCCTTCTTCTCCCCTCCTCTTATCTCCATCTCTTTTTCCTGGCTCCCTCTCTCCTTCCTCAAGTTCCCAATCTCCTCAGGATATCTTGCCTCATTCCACTTCTCTGGGGTATAATGCATATCTCTTGGGAACCTCCCTGTTTCCCAGACTCACTGGCACTGGGATTGTAGGCTAAGCCTTCCCTGATCCATGTCTAAAATCCATATATTAGTGAGTACATACCATGCTTGTCTTTTTGTGTCTGGGTTACATCACTCAGGATGGTTTCTTTTAGTCCCATCCATTTGCCTGCAAGTTTCAAGATTCCATTTTTTCCCACTGAGTAGCACTCCATTCTGTAAATGTACCACATTTTCTCTATCCACTCTTCAGTTGAGGGTCATCTAAGTTGCTTCCGGGATCTAGCTACTACATATAATGCTGCTATGAACATAGTGTAAATGGCATCCTCTTTGTGTGAATGGACATCTTTTGGATATATGCTCAAGATTGGAATTGCCGGGTCTTGTGGTAGACTGATTTCCATTTTCCTGAGGAATCTCGATACTGATTTCCAAAGTGGCTGTACAAGTCGATACTCCCACCAGCAATGGACAAGTGTTCCCCTTTCTCCACATACTCTCCAGCGTAACCTGTCATTGGTGATTTTCATTTTAGCCATTCAGACAGGAGTAAGATGCTATCTCAGAGTTGCTTTGATTTACATTTCCCTAATGGCTAAGGATGTTGAGCACTTTCTTAAGTGTCTCTCAGCCATTTTAGACACTTCTATTGAGAATTCTCTATTTAGTTCAGTATCCCACTTTTAATTGGATCCTTTGGTGTTTTGGAGACTTGCTTCTTCAGTTCTTTGTAAATTTTGGAGATAAGCCCTCTGTCAGATGTGGGGTTAGTGAATATCTTTTCCCAGTCTGTGGGGTGCCTTTTGGTCTTGCTGACTGTGTCCTTTGCCTTACAGAAGCTTCTCAGTTTCAGGAGGTTCCATATATTAATTGATGATCTAAGTGTTTGTTCTACTGGTATTATGTTCAAGAAGCAGTCTCCTGTACCAATTTGTTCAAGGGTACCTCCCTCTTTCTCTTCTAAAAGGTTCAATATAGCTGGATTTATGTTAAGGTCTTTGGTCCATTTGGACTTAAGTTTTTTTGCAAGGTGATATACATGGATCTATCTGCAGTTTTCCACATGCCAATATCCAGTTATGCTAGCACCATTTGTTGAAGATGCCATCTTTTTTCCATTGTATATTTTTAGCTTCTTTGTCAAAAATCAGGTGTTCATAGGATTATGGATTAGTCCAAGAGCATGGGAGATCTTTCCATTTCCTGATGTCTTCTTTAATTTCTTTCTTTAAAGACACAAAGTTCTTGTGATACAGGTCTTTCACTTGTTTGGTTAGCATTACCCCAAGGTATTTTATGTTGTTTGTGGCAATTGTAAAGGGTGATGTTTTTCTGATTTCTTTCTCAGCCTCTTATCATCTGTATATAGTAGGCTACTGATTTTCTTGAGATGATCTTGTATCCTGCCACTTTGCTGCAGGTGTTTATAAGCTGTAAGAGTTCCCTGGTAGAGTATTTTGGGTCTCTTATGTAAGCTATCATATCATCTGCAAATAAGATTTACTTCTTCCTTTCCAATTTGTATCCCCCCTGATCTCCTTTTGTTGTTGTTTTATTGTTCTAGCTAGGACTTTGAGTACAATATTGAAGAGGTAAGTGGAGAAGGCAACCTTGTCTTGTTCCTGATTTTAGAGGAATTTCCATGGGTTTCTAGCCATTCAGTTTGATGTTGGCTGTTGGTTTGCTGTATATAGCTTTTATGATGTTTAGGTATGTTCCTGTTATCCCAGATATCTCAAGACCTTTATTATGAATATGTGTTGGATTTTTTCAAAGGCTTTTTCAGCATCTAGTGAGATGATCATGCGATTTTTGTTTCTCAGCTTGTTTATATGGTAGATTACATTGATGGATTTTCATATGTTGAACCATCCCTGCATCCCTGGGATGAAACCTACTTGATCATGGTGGATGACTTTTCTGATGTGTTCTTGGATCTGATTTGCCAGTATTTTATTGACTATTTTTGCATCAATGTTCATGAGGGATATTGGTCTGAAGCTCTTTTTCTTAGTTGTGTCTTTGTGTGGCTTGGATATCAATGTTACTGAAGAGTTTGGCAAAGACCCTTATGCATGGAATATTTTGTGGAGAATTGGTATAACCTGTTATTTGAGTTTCTGTTAAAATTCTGCACTGAGGCCATCTGGACATGGGCTTTTTTCCGTTGGGTGACTTTTGATGACTGCTTCTATTTCCTTAGGATGTTATAGGTCTATTTAAATTGCTTATCTTTTCTTGATTTAATTTTGGTAACTGATATATATCCAGAAAATTGTCCATTTCCTTTAAGTTTTCAATTTTGTGGAGTATAGCTTTTCAAAATATGACCTGATGATTCTCTGGGCTTCTTCAGTGTTGGTTGTTATGTCTCCCTTTTCTTATCTGATTTTATTAATTTGCATGTTCATATTCTGCCGTTTGGTAAGTTTGGATAAAGGTTTGTCTATCTTGTTGATTTTCTTAAGGAACCAACTCTTTGTTACATTGATTCTTTGTATTGTTTCTTAGTTTCTACTTTATTGATTTCAGCCCTCATTTTAATTATTTCCTAGCATCTGTGCCTCTGTGGTGAGTTTGCTTCCTTTTATTCTAGAGCTTTCAGTTGTGCTGTTAATTCTCTAGTGTGACTATTCTCCAGTTTCTTCATGTGTGCACTTAGCGCTATGAACTTTCCTCTTAGCACAGCTTTCAGTGTGTCCCATAAGTTTGGGTATGTTGTGTCTTCATTCTCATTGAATTCTAGGAAGTGTTTAATTTCGTTTTTATTTCTTCTTTCACCCAGGAGTGGTGCAATTGTGCATTATTCAATTTCCATGAGTTTGCAGGGTTACTGCGATTTGTGTCGTTGTTGAACTCTAACTTTAAAGCATGGTGGTCAGATAAGATACATGGAGTTATTCCAATATTTTTTGTACCTGTTGAGGTTTGCTATGTTGCCAAGTATGTGGTCGATTTTTGAGAAGGTTCCGTGTGGCACTGAGAAGAAGGTATATACTTTTGTGTTTGAATGGAGTGTTTTTTCATATACATTAAACCCATTTGGGTCATAACTTCTATCAGACCCTTCGTATCCTTGTTAAGTTTCTGTCTTGTGGTCCTGTCTAGCGGTGAGAGCAGGGTTTTGAAGTCTCCCAGTACAAGTGTATGAGGTTTTATATGTGCATTGAGTTTTAGTAATGTTTCTTCACGTTCTTCTATACCTATTATTCTTAAGTTTGGTCTTTTCCCAGTGTTCCATATTTCCTGGATATTTTGTGTTATGGATTTGTAGGACTTAGGATTTTTTTGGTCGATTAATCTAATTCTCCTAGTGTATCCTCCACACCTGAGATTCTCTCTTCCATCTCTTGTATTCCATTGATTATGCTTGCATCTGTAGTACCTGACCGTTTTTCCTGTTTTTCTATTTCCAGCATTCCTTCAGACTGTGTTATTTTTTTATTGTTTCTATTTCCAATTTCAGCCCATGCACTGTTTGAATTGTTTTTTGCAATTTTTGCTTTGTCTTTTCTTCCATTTCTTGCATTTTTTGGATTGTTTTTTCTTCCATCTCTTTAAGGGATTTTCTTATATCCTCTTTGAGGGCCTCTATCATTGCCATGAAATTGTTTTTAATGTCATTCTCTTCTGCTTCTTTTGTGTTGAGATGTTCCAGTATTGCTGGTGTAGGTTCTCTGGACTCTGGCGGTGTCATATTGGTTTTTCTGTTGCTTCTTGTGTGTTTTTTTTTTCTTTTTTGGTTTTTACGAGACAGGGTTTCTCTGTATTGTTTTGGAGGCTGTCGGTCCAGCCCAGCCTCGAACTCACAGAGATCCGCCTGCCTCTGCCTCCCGAGTAGTGGGATTAAAGGCGTGCGCTACCACCGCCCGGCGCTTCTTGGGTTTTTATATTGTCTCCTTCCCATCAGTTCTTGCAGTGGGTTCCAGAGAGTGCCTCTTCCTCTCCTGGTTGGTATGGGACCAGGGATCCCTTCTGGTGGGTGTAGGCAAGTCCCATGCTCTGGTAGCTCTCTACTTCCTGGTCTAATGGGTGGAGAAATGGACTATGATGCTGGGGTACTTTGGATCCAATTGGGATGGATGGGAGCCTGAGTGGTAGACCCCAGGCATAGGAATGTGGCCTAGAGACAGGCCCCAATAGTCTTAATCCTGTTGGTGGAGCAGGAGACTAGGGTGCCTTGGCTCCCACCACTAGGATGGAAAGCCACAGTGGTAGACCCCAAGCACAGGCATCCGTCCTAGACCTAGTCCCGTGGGTGGAGTAGGAGACTAAAGTTCCTTGGCTCCCACTGGTGGGATGGAAGTCTTAGTGGTAGACCCCAAGCACAGGTAGCCACCCTAGTGCTGGGGTGCTTTGGCTCCTGCCATCAGAATGGAAGCCTCAGGATGGGAGCAACCATGGCAGTCCCCAGCACAGGCAGGTGGCGGGAAATGGGCCATGGTTTACCTAGTCCCAGGGGCATAGCTTTTAATGGAGATAATTTTGATTAGGAATAAACAGGAACTTCTGGCACCTGAGTAGCGTCACTGAAAAGGGAAGTGGGAAAGTTAGGCTCTGATGGGAGGGAGAAAGCACTACACAACTGAGTAATAACAACCAAACCTTGCAAACAAAACCCCCAAATTAATATCGACAAATTAAAAATGAATGCAAATTAACAAAAAATCCTCTCTCTCCCCAGTGACTGCAATTTGTTTTTTTAATGCTCCTAATTTAAATTTCCTATTTTTCTTCGTTCAAGTGAAAATGAGATTCAGTTTCGAAAGTTTCAGCAAAATTGGTGGAGCGGTTTTTTTTCGGTTGCTGTACTTTCGTGGTGTACATTTTTACCATTGTTATGTTTTCCGTGTAGGTTACCAGGTAAGTATAAAAAATATTTAATTATTTAAGTAGTTAGAGTAATTCTTAAACTCAGCTCCCATTATCAGCAGATAAACTACATTTCTTTATGAGTATATTTCTCCTATGGGTATTGCTCTGTAGTAAAGAGCACTCAATCAGCATGACATCCAATCATATTTGCATACTACATTTTCATTAGTGTTTTTTATCATTATCTCATTTATATACCCTTTATATTTAAAGTGTTTAGTTGTCTTTTAAAGTGACCTAAACTGAAATCTATTTCCCTAGTGTTTTAGTGAAGACATGCTAGAGTAACAGAACTTAGAAAATAAATCCCTCTATCTGTCTCTACACACATACAAACACACACACACACACACACACACACGTATATACACATGCATATCTTTATCTATGTCATATATGTGTATTTAGGGCTGTGTCACCAAAAGTTAATTATTAAATGTGGCTATTGAATTCTACATTAACTTAAGAATTAATTAATTCAGCCCACTCCCAGCAGTTAAAAGACATACATAGTGGTTGACTGCAATATTGGGTAGTGCAGATATGTGAAATTTTCATTATCAAAAAATTGTCTTTTGTGAAGTACTACTGTAGAAGAATTTGTATTCTAAAATATACATTGGCTTTAGTTTATTTAAAATAAGTCATATATCTTTCCATGACAAATTTGGATTATTGTAACAAGTTCAAATGGATGTTGTATATTTTCTTACTGAACTGGACATATCAAAAATTGTTTTGCTTGCGGCCTATAGGTGCACACAAGCTAAGATTTGAGAAAGAAAAGGAACCTCCCTCCTTCGACAAGAGACTTAAAAATAAGGAATATGGACCTAGTTTGAAGGATATGGTTCAGACTACTAAGGTAAAATAAAGTAATACTGTAACATATAAAAACCAAGCTTGTTAAGTTGACCTGTTTAATTTTCTTACAGAGTTAAAACGTTGACAAGTCTTTAATTCAAATTTGGGTGAAGGTTTTGGAGTCTCTTAATTAAATTGTTCATTTTCCTTGTAATGGAAAGGGAGAGTACCTGATTTGGCATTGATAGGGACCTGTCTAGTGCCAGAGCCTGATGATGCACAAGTATAATTTTAATGTAGTGTTCATTGTTTTTATGTGTTTGTTCGTTCCCTTTGAAAAAATAAGGCATTTACACCAGGCGGTGGTGGCGCACGCCTTTAATCCCAGCACTCGGGAGGCAGAGTCAGGTGGATCTCTGTGAATTCGAGGCCAGGCTAGACCGACAACCTCCAAAACAATACAGAGAAACCCTGTCTCATAAAACCAAAAAAAAGGCATTTAACAAAAAGGCCATGAATTGAAAGAATCCCATTAGTCAACACATATTCCCCATACAAAGAAGTCACAATCTTGAATACAAAATTCTGTGTTTCCATTGATGTTAATTAAATAGTACTGCAATAGTAGCAGATACCAGGATGCAGAAGAAGCTCCTTCCAACACTCTAATCCTATTGTGAATATTTTTTTCTATTATAACATTTTTTCTGGCATATATATTACATGGTTCTAGTTTTCATATACAGATTTCATTCATTTTTATGAATTTAACAGTCTGAATAGAACTTCTAAAAGTCTTTGATACAACATCAATTGAATTTTCCTAAATCACATTAGAATTATATCTCTGTATTTCCAATTTTCCATTATTTTTCTTTATCTTTTCAGTGTTTTACACTATGTTCTACTCTAAACATTTTATTCCTTTAAAATTGATTTTAAATTAAAATATAATATGACGTTTCCCCCATCCCTTTCTTCCCTTCTTTCCTTTCCAAGTAACCCCACACCACTTGATCTCTCTCAACTGAAGAGGAATTTCTACAGTCAATTAAGGAACAGTACTGAGATCAAGGGAAATACCCTTCCATGTGGAAAAGACCCCTAACCCTTTTAAAGCATTTATTAGCTATTTGTTTCTCCCACCCACTTCTTGTACACTTAAACGTATGGGTCTATAAAGGATAGCTTAATTAATAGTTATTTAATGGCTAATATCTACATACAAGTAGGCACATTCCATATTTATCTTTTTGGTTCTGGTCTACATCACTCAGTATGACTTTGTTTTATCTAGTTCCATTCACTTACCTGCAAATTTCATTATTTCATTTTTTCACAGATAGGTAATACTCGTTTGTGTAAATGTACCACATGTTCTTCCTCCTTTCTTCTTTTGAGGGTAATCTAAGCTATTTCCTGTTGCTGGCTATTATGACTGTAGCATCAATGAACATGGTTGACCATGTGTCCTTTGGGTATATGCCAAGATTCATGTAGCTGAATGTTGAGATAAATTGATTCCCAGCTTTCTGAGGAAAAGGCATATTGGTCTCATAGTGGCTGTACTAGTTAGCTTGCGCTCCCACCTGCAACAGAGGAGTGTTCCCTTTGCTCCACATCCTGCCCAGCATGATTTGGCACTTTTTTTTATTTTAGCCATTACGACAAGTGTCAGATGGAATCTGAGCCATTTTAATGTGCATTTCCATGATGGCTAAGGATGCTGAACATTTGTTTAAGTGTTTCACAGCCTTTGGTGTTTCCTCTGTTGAACACTATCTGTTTATATCTGTACCCCATTTTTTACTGAATCTTTTCTTTTGCTGTCTAGTTCCAAAATATACTGTAAGTTGAGTTGATATGTATTATTTCAAACATCTTTCTAGTTTCTAATCTCTCCTTCAGTTTCTTTAACATCTTAAAGTTTTGATTGTACAAGTATTTTACTTGCTTGGTTAGAGTTGCCAAAAGATATTTTATATTATTGGTTGGTTATTGTGAAAGGCATTGTATCCCTAATTTCTTTCTCAGTCCACTGGCCATTCTTAGATAGGAGTGCTACTGATTTTTATGAGTGAATTTTGTATCCAGCTAGTTTACTTAAAGTGGTTATTAGCTGTTGTGTTTATTAATCACCTTTTCTCTTTCCCAAACCTTATCTCTATTCCTTATTATAATAATTGTCTACAGGCAGACAAATTGTTTCTTAGTCTCTAGATACAAGAAAGAGAACTTTGTATTTGTCTTTCTGTGTCTAACTTAATTAATGTATTTCCCATCACTTCCATGTATTAATTGATAAATGATAAGATTTCATCCTTCATTACATTTGAGTAATAGTCTATTATAGGTACATGATTTTATGTATAAACAGTTCAAATAAGATTAATACAAAAATTCAAGAGAAAAAATTAGAATATACATTTACCACACCTACTTTTATCAGCTTACTGATTAATAAGTACCTAGGTCAAATATTTATCATAGATTTTGTGGATAGTATTGTAATTTATTTTGGGTGCAGGTATTTCTTTGGGATGTTGATCATTTTTCTTTGAGATTGCTGTACTTTGAACAGTTCCTTTGTGAAAATCTGATACCTTACTAGTTTCTCTTTATTTCTGTCCTGGCCATACATTGTAGGGTTAATTGTATGAGCATGTGCTGCATGAGCCAAAGTAACTGAGACAATAAGCCATGGTCTTATCCTATAAGGAGTATACATGCTTATATTTTTATATACAAAGTAGTCCAATCATATGGTGTAGAGATCTGCTCATGATTTTTTAGTAAAACCAATTTCTTTTTTCATAGTAGCTGTATTCCCATTGGCAAGGTATAGCAGTTTCTTTTTTCTTTGGCAGAATTTTTTTATCGTTTTTTGTTGCTGAAATCTGGACTTCTTTGATAATAGCCATTTGTTATCCCTGATGCAGAATGCCTGCCGAAGCAACTTAACAGAGGGAGAGTTTAATTTGGTTCTGCATTCTGGATCATGCAGTCTGTCATGGCAGAGAAGGTGTGGCTGCAAATCCCTTATCACCTGCCTTGTTGCTGGAGTAGAAGGCATCAAGGTCAAAGTAGAACCAGGGTATAATACTCACAGCTGTACTTGCAGAGGCATGCTGTCTCCAGGTAGCTCCTCCTCCTTAAGGAGGTTCCAAGTACCCACAGGCAGTGTCAAAATGCTACCAAATAACTCAACCTTCGGGGAGAAATTCATATGTAGGCCATGGATATCATTCAAACTGGAGAAGAGGTATCTCATTGTAACTTTCACTTTCATTTCCAAGATGGTTAAATATTTTTCACATTTTTTGTATTATTTCCCAGCTTTCTATGTTTCTTCTTTTGGTACATATTCAGATCATGTGTCCATTTTTAAATTATTGCCTTTGTGCTGTTAAGTTGCTTCAGAACCTTATCTGCTTTGTGTATTAATCCTTGGACAGAAGAATGTGGGCCAAGCTTTTCTCCCATTCTACAGGTTGCTTCTTCTCTCCAGTAGTTGTTTTCTTTGCTGCACTGAAGCCTTTTGTTTTTTCAAATGATCACATTTATCTACGATGCTTCTGTTTTCTGTACCTTTGCAGTCAGAGACAAAAAGCATCATCATCATTCATACTGATAGACTGTAGCCTGTGTGTTCTGTCTTCCTAGATTTACACTTTCTGGTCCTATGTTTGCATTTTAATCACCTTTGAGTTGGCTTTTTCTACAGCATGAAATCAGAGGTCAAATTGCAGGTTTCTGCATGTGGACACCTGTCTCTAGTGTTTACTTTTGACCCTTCATCAAAAATCAGTTTTCTGTAGATGACTGATTATTTCCTGGATAATCTGGCTTCTGTGTATTCCTTTCTATGTCATGTGTCATTTTCTTTCTTTCTTTCTTTCTTTCTTTCTTTCTTTCTTTCTTTCTTTCTTTCTTTCTTTCTTTCTTTCTTTCTTTCCTTCCTTCCTTCCTTCCTTCCTTCCTTCCTTCCTTCTTTCTTTCTTTCTTTCTATCTTTCTTTCTTTCTTTCTTTTTGGTTTTTACAAGACATGGTTTCTCTGTATTGTTTTGGAGGCTGTCAGTCCAGCCTGGCCTTGAACTCACAGAGATCCACCTGCCTCTGCCTCCCGAGTGCTGGGATTAAAGGCGTGTTCCACCACCACCCGGCTGTCATGTGTCATTTTCTACTGTGGCTCGATAGTTTGCCTTGATACCAGATTTACTGAAACCTCATGCTTTGTTGTGCTACAGGTTGATTTCCTTTAGTCTTTATTTTCTGCCTAATGAATTTGAATATTGATTTTTAAAGTTCTTAAATAACACCAGTGGTGTATTGGATGATGTTGGAACATATAGATCATTTTTTGTTTTCCAGCATTCTTTTTATCATGATCATGGATGATATTTTCCTCTTTGTGTGTGTTTGTGTGTGTTTGTGTGTGTGTGTGTTCATGTGTGTCTATTTAATTTTCTCTCATCAGTGTTAAAACTTTCATTATAGAGGTGCTTTATTTATAAGTTAAACTTATTTCATCCATTTTCTCTGAAGCTGTTTTGATTGTGAGTGCTTCCATAATTTCTCTCACAGCAAGTTCATTTGGATAAATAAATGTTACTAAGTTTTATGGTTCAGTTTTCTATGCTACAAATTTTCTGAGTTGATGTTTAAGGATTAATATTGTTTTAAGGCTGACCATAGTTTTTTTGTACATGAAAGCATATAATCTTTAAACAGTGCTAATTTTACCCTCACCATTTGCATACCTTTACTCTAAATCTAAAATTGGATTTATACCTGTATATTATCTCAAAATTCTAAGTAATTCAGAAATTCATTTAACAGTGAAGACTAAAATTTTTGTAAAGAAAGCTGAGAGCACCCTATCTGTATTAATATTTGAGAAAACTAGCAGATATATAGTTTATGAAAAAGCTATGTTCATATATGCTATGTTTAGTCCAATAGTCTATAAATTAATTGCAATAATAATCAATTATATGACATCATATTTTAATAAAAACACACTTCTCATGTGCATCTAAATAAATCATAGTTATACAAAGACAACTTAGCAGTTGTTATCTGTGTGTATATATACATATATATTAAAATGTATTTTGTATGATATAAGCAACGAAAAGAGTATTTCTCAATATATGCTATAATAAATATATGAATTCCTATGTGAAATAATATACATGGATACTTTGCAGGTTTATAATGTTCTTTAGGTAAAATAAAAAGTAAATGTTGACAGAGAATATATGTATAAAACAGAAGTGGAATTATGGTCTACGTAAGTTTTTACCTATGTAAAACACAAAATAAATGTTAATAGATCATATGATATAAACTCAAGAATATTTGTTCTATGAAAAATTCGAAGCAAGTACAGTCAATGAGTCATGCCTACCTAAATAGAAGAATTTAATACTTAGGTCAAATAGGGAATTCTTAGAAAAATCTATCCAATCAATAAATAAGTGTAATAGAATAGCACACACAAACACACAGACTGAACTTCTAAATTATATGAATAAATACACAGGTTTGTGTGTATTTGCATGTATGTAGATGTTCACACATTTCAGCTGCACATATAAACATGTGGAGTTAGATGACTTCAGGTGTCATTTCTCAGGTACTATACATGTTTATTTTCTCTTTGGAGACCCACTAGCTCGACTAGTAGTTGCTATGTAGACTAGACTAGCTTACCAGATCCTTGCCATCACCGTCTCCCAGCACAGATATGAGTGTGTGCCACCATGCCTGGCATTTGTTATATTGGTTCTGGGGATTGAGTTTAGGTCCTTGAAACAGTTTGCCAACTGATACCTCTACAGACCCCAAAATACATATTTATATTTGAGAACATAGAAACACAAAAGAAATATTATCTTGTGTACATCTGTATGACAAAATTTTGGAAGGCTAGGTTATTGAGTTTCTAATTATGTGAGCTATGACATATCTGTTGCTGCATGACAAAACATAGTAGTGTGACAGAAAACTGTTTTACGTATCAGTGTGAAATTGTATGAGGCTTTATTCCTCTCAGAGGCACATGGGGTGACAAAAGTGCTCACAATCTATAGGATGGCATCATCTCAAGGTTTCTTTGCTCTACTATTAACGACATTACTGGCTAGGATTTAGAACACTCACACGTGGCCTTGCTGGTAATTGTAAGGTCTTCCTGTGTTCAGTGACTTAGTGCCATGGTACATGTCTGCAAGGGCTAAACCCGAGGTATTGTTGTAGGGAATCTTAGAGTATAAGCTGGGCCACCAAGTAAACTGTGCTCTGAGATATTGAAGTGTTGTTAATAAAGATACAACCTGAAGAAAATTTTGGAGCAAAAAAATGAAATAAGTTATTCATAAGCCCTAATATTTAAAAACGTCTTCCAATAACACACGTTTCTAAAGATATGCTTCTCAAAGGAGATCAAGAGTGCATGCACAGGGATTTTATTGTGACACTGGGGAGTGGAAGGTGACAGATATTTGATCCTATAGGAATCAACAGATACAGTGGAATCAAATGACACAAAGGTAGAGAACTCTGACGAGATGGGTCATATAAAGGGAAAATATGAGTGTATCTAATAAGACACCAAGAAGTATTTTCAAGATGCTAGCATATCCAGAGCTAAAAGCTATTTTTGCTGTATAGAATAATCAAATTACAAATCTCTTATGAAATATGTTATTACAGAATTACAGTTTTGTTTTTTGTTTGCATAACTCTGTTTAGACTACAGGAATGTACTTCTACAGATTTAGTGTTGACATGGGAAGAGATGAAATCATTGTGATATGAATTTTTCTGTTTCAGTGTCTGTTGAAGAACCCACTGCTGATATGCTACTCACTGTGCAAAACCACTGAGTCCCTTACTTTTAAAGGATCTATGTCATTTGTGCCCATTTATTTACAAAATCAGTTTTTGATAACACCCTCAGTTGCCTCTATGCTCACAGGTAGATTTTTTTATTCTTACTGTGCAGATTTCAATATTTCCATAACGTGTATATTTAAGTGTGATATGTATGTTGAAGAAATATATCATGTAAACAAAAGACACAGGGTAAATTGTACTTGGATGCTCCTAGCAGAAACTAGAAAAACATAAACGTGGTACACTCCTTCAATATTTTAAATACATAAACTTCACCATTCTGTTTATATTGATTGCTATCTTCCTGCCTCCAGTCTACATATTTTCCTATTTGTTTGCTTCTTCTCTATAGGAAAATAGGCTTCTTAAATCACAATTTGTCCTTCCCTTTTCCAGTCCTGTATATTTCTGCTTGTGGGTCTGTACTCAATGGTTTTCTAAAATATTCACATAATTTCCTATTAATTCTTCTATTTCTTTCACCAGAATCTTTATGTTACAGATTCACATTAAATTCAATTTTATGTGTTTTAATTATGCTGTGGTATGCTTTATTTTTATTTAAATTGAAAAAGCTTCTTTTACATGTCAATCACAGTTTCTTCTTCCTCCCTTCATCCCCAGGCCCCAACTAACCCCCATCCCATTCCCTTTCTTCTCTCCAGGGAGGGTGAGGGTTCCATGGGGATCTTAAATGTCTTCTCATATCATTTGGGGCAAGGCCTAGGCCCTCCCCCATGTGTGTACTACACTGAGAGAGTATCCCTCTGTGTGGAATGGGCTCCAAAAGCCCATTTGTATTCTAGGGATAAGTACGGATCGACAACCAGAGATTCCATAGACTGCCCAGGCCTTCTCACTGACACACACATTAAGTGGTATAAATCGGTCCTATGCTGGTATCTCAGCTATCAGTCTGGGGTCAATGAGCTTCCCCGTGTTCAAGTCAGCTGTTCTGTGGGTTTCACCGGCCTGGTCTTGACCTCTTTGCTCATCACTCCTCTCTCTCTGCAACTGAATTCCAGGAGGTCAGTTCAGTGTTTAGCTGTGGGTGCCTGCTTCTGCTTCCATTACATACTGGATGAAGGCTCTATGATAGAGTATAACGTAGTCATCAATCTCATTATTGGGGGAGGACATTTAAGGTAGCCTCTCCACTATTGCTTAGGTTGTTAGTTGGGGTCATCCTTCTAGATCTTAGGAAATTCCCCCAGTGCCAGATTTCTCTTTAAACCTATAATGATTCCCTGTATTATGGTACCTCTTACCTTGTTTTCCTCTATTCTTCACCTGACTCAATCTTTCTACTCCCTCATGTTCTCCTCTCTCCTCCTCTTCTCCCCTTCTCTTTCTCCTAGCTCCCTCTCTGCTCCCCCATCCTCCCAATTTGCACAAATCTTATTCTTTTTCCCTTCACCGAGGTAACATGCATGTCTCTCTTAGGATTTTCCTTGTTTCCTAGCTTCTCTGGCAGTGTTCAGTGTGGTCTGGTAATCCTGAGTTCTATGTCTAAAATCCATATATGAGTGAGTACATACCATGTTTTAATTTCTGTGACTGGGTTACCTCAATCAGGATGGTTTCCTCTAGTGCCATCCATTTCTCTGAGAATTTCAAGATTCCATTATGTTTTTCTGCTGAGTAGTACTCCATTTTGTAAATGTACCACATTTTCACTATCCATTCTGCAGTTGAGGGGCATCTAGGTTGCTTCCAGGTTATGACTGTTACAAATAATGCTGCTATGAACGTATTTGAACAGATGTCCTAGTTGTATGAAGGTCCACCTTTTAGGTATATGCCTAAAAGTGGAATTGCTGGATCTTGAGGTAGACTGAGTCCCATTTTTCTGAGGAATCTCCATACTGATTTTCAAAGTGGCTATGCAAGTTGACCTTCCCACCAGTAGCAGAGTAATGGTTCCTGTTCTCCACTTCCTCTCCACCATAAACTGTCTTTGGCATATTTGATTTTAGCGATTCTGCAGGTATAACATGGTATCTTAGAGCTGTTTTTATTTGCATTTCCCTGATGCCTAAGAATGTTGAGCACTTTCTTGAAACTGGAAGTCAATGCAAAATGGAATATAATATATTTATTTACATCAAGCTGGGGGGACAGAAAGCGTTGCAGGCTTCCAGAGGAAAAGAGAGCTTCCTTTTCTCTTTCACTTCCTTTTATACTCACCTGTGCTAAATTTCCCTATCTCCACTTTTATGAGTGTGAAAAGTTTTGTGGGTTCGCCCCTACAATTCCCCTTTTAGTATAAATAGAAGATTTATATTTGATACAAACTCAAACATATACAGCATATATACATAGAGGGTGATAAGTAAGTTATAATTCACTTATATCCTAAACTAAACGTATCTATCCCATCTAAATTCTAAACTTACCTGAAAGGGATGCCCAAGTCTGAACACTTCCTTCCAATCCCAACCCTAAAATAATTGAAACCTAACATTAACAGGTGTAAATTATTCTGTGATATCTACAGTAGGGAAAGGGGGTGTGGAATTCTCAAATTTACTTACTGCTGAAATGTGGCGATGACAATCTCATGGGGACCTGTGGGAAGAAAATGTTAGTGTAAAAAGAGTCTTAAGTAGGTTATTTAGTCTCTGTTTGGCAGGAGATGCTTGATTGAATACTTGATTGTAGTTCTAATTTTGATTGAAGCTCTTATCTGATGCTCTCATCAGCTTGTAGAAGATGCACTGTCAGTTCCTTTTTCTGGAGTTGTGTCGAGTGATGTAGTCCCAATCTGGTTTCAGGATGGTGCTTGTCAGGTGGCGTCAATGATGTGAGGCCCCGTTTTCTTTCCGAAGTGTCTGAAGAGTGCTATCAAGAAAATCCTTGTTCTCTGGAAAACTCAAATATTAATGTTAGCAAAGAAATTTTCAACTTTTATATGTATGCATATTGGGAAAGGAAGATAATAAACATGAAGGAGGTTAGACTTTCAGAAACAGAATTTAGTACATACAGCTGACAGTCCCTAATTTTATTTTCTTCTGTTTTATATCAATGGCTCTTTGATATAATACAGAAATTGTGAATTTTTTATTTTTTATTATTTATTTTTAAATTTAAATTTAAATTAGAAATAAGGTTGCTTCACATGTCAATTCCAGGTCCCTCTCCATTTCCCTCTCCTCCTCCCGTGCCCTCCCACCAACCCCGCAATATCCCCTCATTTCCCCAGGGAGGGTGAAACCCTCCATGGGGGTGTCCATTGTCTGTCATTTCATCCAGGGTAGAGCCTAGACCCTGCCCTAAGAGTCCAGGGTGAGAGTGCATCTCTCATTGCTGGATAGGAGCCCAAAGTATACCCGGGATAAATACTGATCTACTACCCAAGGCTCAATAGATTACCTAGGCCTCCTCACTGAATCAGGGGGACTTGATCAGTCCCATGCTGGATTCCCAGGCATCAGCCTGGGATTCAAGAGCTAACCCTTGTCAGGTCAGCTGTTTCTGGGGGGTAACCAGCCCAGTGTTAATGCCTTTGGTCAACAGTCCTCCCTTTATGTCACTGGATTTCTTGAGTTCAGCTCAGTGCTTAGCCGTGGGAGTCTGCCTCTTCTTCCATCAGCCACTGAATGAAGGTCCTGTTTTCCAGACTCTCTGGCCATGGGATTGTAGGCTGGCACTCCCCAGATCTATGTCTAAAATCCATATATGAGAGAGTACATGCCATATTTCACTTTTTGTGACGGCGTTATCTCACTCAGGATGGTTTTTTCTAGTGCCATCAATTTCCTTAAAATACACAGGTTAGTTCAGCTCAGTTTGCTCTGTAGTCCAGTGTCTTTCTGCACCTGTTTGTCCTTTTTAATTAGCATTAAGAAAGTTCAACATTAGTAAAGCATTATGTAATCTGTTTTTAGCTGTCTTTATTCCCCCTGGCTGTTTATGAAGCATTTCTTTTAAGGTACAGTTAGATCTCTCAACCACTGCTTGTCCTGTAGGATTGTGAGGTATACCAGTTAAATGCTTTATATTATAATATTTGAAAACCTGTCCCAATTTGCTGGAGACATAAGCTGGAGCATTGTCAATTTATTTGTGCAGGTATACCATCATCTTTAAGAGGTGTGCAATAACAGAATCAGCTTTTTCAGAGTTAAGAGCAGTAGCCCATTGAAAGCCTGAGAATGTGTCTATGGTATGGTGCACATATTTTAAACTGCCAAATTCTGGGAAGTGAAAAATCATCCACTTGGCAAATTTCATTCCTTTGGGATTACTGCCTGCTAGTAACAGAGTTTGGTTATATAATGGGCAAGTGGTACAATTTCTTACTATTTCCTTGGCTTGTTGCCAGGTAATAGAAAAATCCTTCTTTAAACCTTTGCTGTTAACATGGTGTTTCTTATGAAATTCTGAAGCTTCCACCACACTTCCTATTAATAAATGATCAGTCTCATCATTGCCTTGAGCTAGAGGATCTGGCAGACCCGTATGGGATCTGAGGTGATATATATATATATATATATATATATATACATACATACATACATACATATATATATAATGAGTTCTATTTACCATGGTTTCCTGTAATTGTAAAAACAATAAAGTTAATTCTGTATCATCATCAGGAACAAATTCTGCAGTCTCAATGTGTAAAACTGCTCTTTCTACATACTGAGAATCTGTAACTATATTGAGAGGCTCTGTAAAGTCTTTAAGTATCATGATAATAGCGTACAACTATGCCTTTTATACAGAGTTGTAAGGGCTTTGAACTACTTTCCTTATATTTCCTAATTTATAACCTGCCTTTCCTGATTTCTTTGCATCCATGTAGAATGTAAGAACTCCAGAAATAGGTGTTTTTCTTACAATACATGGAAGAACTCAAATTATTTTCTTTATGAATTTGATTCTCTCTCTTTTGGGATAATTGTTACTGATAGTTCCCAAAAAACCACTGCAAGCCCTATGCCAATATTCATTATCCTTCCATAAGAAGGAAAATTCCTCCTTCATTAAAGGTACAATAATTTCTGCTGGGTCTCTTTCAGTCAGTTGACGAAGCCCTAACTTACCTTTTAATATCAAATCAGAAATCTTTTC